GCACCAGGGCTAGTTAGTCTCTTTTCGTTTGGTGTGTGGTTCTGTTCAGTGGATTAAATTCTGATGGCGCCTCCACCTTGCCTGTTGTGACCTGTACCTACAGAAGGCCACCTTCCAAGAAACAGAGTGCTTTTACCTGCTCTCCCTTATGACCCAGCTTGTGCCCTTTAGAGAAGGAGGGAGGCAGCTTGACAGGACAGGTGGTGGAACGGCTCACTCTCCAGATGGGACAGGTTGGGGGAGTCGGTAGGGGCCAGAAAACTGTCAGGTCTGACATACTTCTGTGAGACTGCTATCCATACCCACTGACCTCTCCACCTCTGGCCACAACGGCCAGCTGAGGCCAGAGTCAAGCCAGAGCTGTCCATCTGAGTCACTATTCGATTCGGCAGTAGCAACAGTGGTGGCCATTTCCCTGTACTCTGAAATGGAGCTTGATGAGCTGCCGGCAATAAAACCATTCCAGACCCAGCCCTGCTCTCTCAGGTGCTCTCTGTCTCCCTGTTGTAAACCATTAGTGGAAGAGGCTGTGTGAGCGACCCTCCAGATGAGGGGGTTTAGGGCTTAAGGCATGGGAGCTCCTGTGTCCCTATGTGTGAATAAATGACCTTACAGAGGGGACCATAAAATAGAGACTGCCATCTGAGGATCTGTCCTTGCCATACTGGTCCCCTGAGGGCTGGAAATGCCAGTTTGTCCATGATGAGGCTGCAGCTCTCATTAGCCATGGTGAAATTACTTTTTGTAGCCAGAATCAATAAATCATTATCTCCTGGGCAATGATAGAGCTGCCTTTTGAATAATTTTTTTCTCTTCCTTGTGGTTTTTGCTTTTGAAAGACTATATCTTCACCAGTAGCTATTTCCTGCTATCACCAGTTAACACTTACTTTAGACGGTAGTGTGTGACTCCAGACATGACTCAAACAAGTCAGGCCGTATGGGTCAGTGGAAAGAGCAGAGGTTTGAAGGTCTCAAGATGGATTGCAGCGGAAGGAGCAGAAGTTTAAGTGCTGACCCCGAGGATGCACTTTGTGGGGTGTCTTTATAAACGTAACTTCATTTGTATCAACTCTTGTGGTCCCCCAACTCCTTCATCCTTATGTCTTATCTTACAGGAGCAATGATGTCTGGGTCCTTGACCTCGAGCAGTGGGCGTGGTCCAAGCCAAACATCTCTGGCCCCAGTCCTCATCCTCGGGGTGGCCAATCTCAGGTGCTCAGGAATTAAAATAACTATTCAGCAAACACGGTAGCATCTTTCAGTTAGGACGGGAGAGGGAGGAGGGAGTCAGGTAAGATGCCAACATGCGTAAGCCAAAAGAGAATTTATCATTATTTTTGCTATTATAGTATTGGCTTTTCAAGTTCCCGTGGGTTACATTTATTTTTAGTGGCTTTATATTATGTTTCTCCCCAAAGCCTTTACTTTGCTGCTTCGTTTCTTAAGAGAATCCTGTGTTTTACGTGGTTGGCACTCTCATGTTAATATTTGATCAGCAAAAAACATATCCATTCAGGTGAATCATCAGTAACTTGTTCACAGGGATCAGAATTGACATGGGAGATTGGAGAGCTTACTGGTACCTAGAAGACTCTCATTTGGGAGCTGGCTAGGCGATTTTCATATACAACTGAAGCACAGGAGGTCAGATACCTGGGTCTTTATAGGTTTATTTTAAATTTCTTCCTCTTCCCAGATTGTCATAGATGATGCAACTATCTTAATCCTTGGAGGGTGTGGCGGTCCCAATGCTGTGAGTATTGCTGGTGTGGCATTCCCATACACATGCTAAGCATTCAAAACTTGCTTCTCCTGTCTTGTCTTTCTCTCTCTCTTTTTTATTATGTTTCAGGTGTACAAAACAACATACTGATTAGACATTTACACACCTTACAAAGTGACAACCCCAACAAGTCTGCTACCCATCTGACACCGTGCATAGCTTTTACAATACTATTGACTGTATTCCCTATGCTGTACTTTACATCTTGTGAATACACACACACACACACACACACACACACATATACACACACAGGTGTGCCCAAAAAAATGTACACACATTTTTAAAAAGGAAAAAACTATTAAAATTGTAATAATATATATCGATAACAAAAGATGAATACAAGTCATGTGTATACATTTTTTTGGCAAGCTTGGTATATATATATATGTTTGTTTGTTTTTTAATTATACTTGATCCTGTCTTGTCTTATAAGAGTGTAGAAGATCATTTCTGTGGCATTTTCACTTAGTACCTTTTCCATTTGGGTTATAGCCTTTGTATTTTCTAGCCTTTTTCTCCGCTCTTTTTGGGGAGGGGAGAGGTGCTTTTAATCAGACAGTCATCTCTTGAATATTCATATCTATATTCTTCCTACCCCCACTTCCTCTTTAGTCTATAATGTTTGCTGCTATCATTTTTGTCAAGGACGAGTGGGACAGAAAAGCAGGTTGATAGTTGCCAGTGTGTACATGGAATTTATTTTAAGAATTCAGATTCATAAAGTTATGGATATGTGTTATCTATCCACCCTCCCCCATATGCACACATACACAAAACCACAGGCAGAATTCAAAACCACTTAAAATTGATTCATGGGTCACAAGCACAATTCATGTGCCCGGCCACTGGTAATATTATATATGAGTGAATAAATGTACAAGTGAATGAATAACCAAAGACTTCGCTATTCTTTCTGAAGAGCCCACACACGCTCTAGACCAGACAGCACAATTTTGAGATTCCAGCTCTGTGTGTGTGTGTTTTGTAATGTGGACCACACCTGAGTCCTGTTGTTGGCTCTTCTCTTACAGCTGTTCAAGGATGCTTGGTTGTTGCACATGCACTCGGGTCCCTGGGCCTGGCAGCCACTCAAGGTAGAAAATGAAGATCATGGGGCGCCAGAACTGTGGTGCCACCCAGCTTGCCGGGTAAGCGGGGAACTGACAGGCCTACAGGAGGAGGGTCCTATACTGTAAAACCAAATTAATCTGTCAGGTTTCTAAGCAAATTTGTATGGAAATTGAAAACACCTTGATGTCATAAAATAGGTGGACATTAACCATAGCTCCTTGGGAATTTCTCACAGATGTGAATCACTAGGAGAGAAAAACTTAGCGGGCCCCATTCATCCATTAAATCCCAGCTTTTAGCATGTCTTTGTCTATAAAATTTTCCCCAGAGTCCCCCAAACAAAAACTGATTCCTCCCTCTACTCTATCCCTATTCTGTAGACATAATTCTAATGATAGCAGCGGTCACACTGTAGCACCAGATTGCTCCCGTGTCTGTCTCCCATTCCAGCCTAAAAAGCAGACTACGTTATTTTCATCTCTGTGTCTCAGGTACCTGCAAGATGCCTGGCATATCCCAGATGCTCATGAGAAGATGTTTGATGGTTGAATGAATGATCAGAATTGAGCACAGGTCTTTTGTCTTCCAGGTGGGACAGTGTGTGGTGGTCTTCAGCCAGGCTCCCAGTGGGAGAGCCCCACTCAGTCCCAGTTTGAACTCTCGCCCGTCACCTATCAGTGCCACTCCTCCCGCCCTGGTTCCCGAAACCCGAGAGTACCGTTCTCAATCTCCAGTAAGGAGTATGGATGAAGCTCCGTGTGTTAACGGCCGCTGGGGAACCCTGAGACCCAGAGCTCAGAGGCAGACCCCCTCCAGTTCCCGGGAAGGGAGCCTGTCCCCAGCCAGAGGAGATGGCTCTCCCATCCTCAATGGTGGGAGTTTATCTCCAGGGACAGCCGCGGTAGGTGGCTCTTCCTTGGACAGCCCTGTACAGGCCATATCTCCTAGCACTCCATCTACCACTGAAGGATATGACCTAAAAATGGGACTTTCTTTGGCCCCTCGACGAGGGTCACTGCCAGATCAGAAAGATCTGAGATTAGGATCGATCGATCTGAATTGGGATCTGAAACCCGCTTCCAATAGCAACCACCTGGATGGCGTGGACAGCAGGACAGTGGGGGGGAGCGTGAGACACCTTCCTGAACAGACGAATGGTGTGCACACCCCACCGCACGTGGCCAGTGCCCTGGCAGGAGCCGTCTCCCCAGGTGCCCTGCGTCGGAGCCTCGAAGCCATCAAAGCGATGTCATCCAAAGGCCCCTCGGCCTCCGCAGCACTAAGTCCTCCTCTGGGGTCTTCTCCAGGCTCCCCCGGGAGCCAGAGCCTGAGCAGTGGAGAAACAGTGCCCGTGCCGCGGCCAGGGCCTGCCCAAGGAGATGGACATTCCCTACCTCCCATTGCCCGCCGCCTGGGCCACCACCCTCCACAGTCCCTAAATGTTGGCAAACCCTTGTACCAGAGTATGAACTGTAAGCCCATGCAGATGTACGTGCTGGACATTAAAGACACCAAGGAGAAGGGGCGGGTCAAATGGAAAGTATTTAATAGCAGTTCTGTGGTCGGGCCTCCTGAAACCAGCCTGCACACAGTGGTCCAAGGCAGGGGCGAACTCATCATATTCGGAGGACTCATGGACAAGAAACAGAATGTGAAGTACTATCCAAAAACAAATGCCTTGTACTTTGTGCGAGCAAAGAGATAATATGTTCTAAACCCCTTTCCCTTTCTGTGGCTTTTAATTTGGAATTTTCCAGCGTGCAAGCATTTGGACTGAGAATTGGGCAAACAAAGGACAGAATGACTCCCATAAACCAAAACCCCAATTCCCAACCTCACTCACTCCAGATCAAATCTCCATTAAGAAAAAAAATTATATATAAATATATATTATATAGCCAACTCTGTTTACAAAGAGGGAGAGATCTCCGTCCTGGTTCAGATAAAAGTGTTGCTGTGTTTTAGCAGAGGGTGTGCTGCCTTTTCCTACTTTGCTGGTAACTAGACCAAGAATTGAGGGAACAGACTAATATCAGAGCTTCCCTAAAGACACTGAAGAGCCCTCTGTAAATCTTGACGTGGCCTTCTCAGAGGTAGAAAAAGAAAGGGCATGTATAGGATGCACAAGTGGCGGTTTCAGATTCGCACGCTTCAGGTGCTGGCAGGGTAAAAGTAACCGATAGAAAACTGTTCTTCCCTTCTCTTCAAACCCAAAGGACCTGTGAAAACTTCTCTTTGCTGTAATGCCCTCTGCCTGGCCCCATTCTGCCCATTGTGACTGAAGACATTTACCCAACGAGGGGTTTTGTTCCACGATTGTGTGCCAGGATCATCGCGAAACAATGTGTATGCAGTGACACCTGTCCACCTAGTGTCCGTTGGTCTTTTGAGTGCTCCCTCCGTGTCTCAGAAAACATTTTAGTATCTGTCAAATTTTCTGACAGTCGTACTTGGTTAAAAGTTGCCAAAAATCACGTTTGTTCTCCTTTTCCTTCTCTTAAAATTTGATCTTCAGAGGCTGCCTTTCTTTTCTTTCCTTCTTCCTTTTTTTTTTTTTCATATGCAGATTTTTTTTTTTTTTTTTTTTTAGCTGAGCCATCCTGCCACCTGTTGACAGCTCAGCGGCTGCTCAGCTCGGGCCAGGACTCGAACCGCTGTTGCTCAGAACTCACAGTCTTGAGCGAGCTCTTAACCAACTGAGCCACTTGGCCGGCCCACATATGCAGATTTTTTAAAGCCCTAAAACCTTTCTCATATTTTGTTTCTTTTACAAAGCTTGGGGCCCAGAGAAATCTCTTAGAAATATTTCTGGAACACTTTCTCTGGTGTCACTAAGGGGCCGGTAGGGAATTCCAAGATGCCAGTATCATGAGAAAGCCTTGAAGCATCAAAAGATACTGTTTTTTCCCTTATGGGCTTCTTTTTTCCTTCCAAAGCACATTGGACATACCCATCCATATTTGTAAAATGTGGAAATTGATCCTGAGAAGGAATCCCAGTAACAGTTCCTCCCAGAAATTATGTTTGCCCTTGTGACATGCGTTCTTCTGCCTGGTTATTAACTGGTGATTGGGCTGAGTATCATGTGCTTGGCCTCCTTGGTGCATGGCTGACCTTGGGAGCAGCTCCTCCGTTCTGTCTTTTTCACGTGTCACCTAAACAAGTCTTGGGTTTTCCCTTTCACGTCATTTCTGAGATAAGATGCCACCAACTAGAGCATTTCTTTGGTTGATACAGGAAGTTACAAGCTACCAGTCTCTAAAACCACAGCCTGGACACAGTGAAACCACTGAAATGTGGATTTTTGGTGATTTCTCATCAACAGAAAGAAGATTTTTATTTTGCCTGTAGGATTTAAATTTCAAAACATTCCATTTCCCATCCCCACACTCCCCTTTTTCTTGTTAGCATTTCCCGAGCACAAGCCTGCTGCAGCTGGCCTGGGTCCTGGCTTGCAGCCAGCGCTCAGCCGTCTGTCTGAGAAGTATGTTTTGTCCTGTTACATCATGTTGAATCCTTTCCCCTAGCCATTAGCTTTTACAGTGTGGTCTTAGTGGGAAAGCCCCCCGGGGCCAGGAAAGGGCCAGCTCACAGGGAGGAAAGGAGGGGGGCGTGTTCCAGAAACTGCTCTGTGCTCCCTTAGACAAGGGAATTACCATGTGCCTACTTCTATGGTGTCCAGCCGCTCAGAGCTCAGCACTTAGCTTGCCAGACTCCCTGCTCTGGGGCTGCCGCCAGTACTTTGGCAAAGACTGTTAGATCATGTGCGTCCCAATTCACGAGAGAAAGCTAGCCTCGAGTATGAGCGCTTTTGGCGTTATTGCTGTTGCCAAGCCTTGTTGATGACACTGCGTCTGTGCATGGACAGTGCCTCCAAACTCAGTTCCTATTTACATACAAAGTATCTGGAAGGCAGACAGTGCAGAATCTCAACTTTGTAATCTTTCCCTTTGTCCTGTGGCCTTCCTGAGCCAGCTGTTAACTTGTCAATTCTTTCTACTTTCCCCAAGTAGGCAGGTAACAGAGATGAATCCTTTAGAAAGGAACCCAACTCCTTGGGGCTCCCTGGCATCCTAGTATTAGCCACAGCACTCGGAACCAAACTGTCCGTTTACAGCTCTTTAAGAAAAATCTGCCCCGTCTGCCCCCAGTGGTGCTGGTCTTTGTGGAGAGCGACTCAGCACAATACAGGGGATCGTCTCCTCGGGCCCTTGTGAAGCCGCGCCTGCACTGGAACCTCAGGTGTCTCAGCCGAGGTGACCGTTTCCACAGCGCCGGGGATGCCTCAGTCAGACCAGATGTAAATCCAAATTCGGTTTTTGTAAGATTCCAAATTTGGTTTTAACTTCCCCGGAGAAAAAGAAACAAAAAAATTTTTTTAAACCCTCGGGAGCACCTAAAGCAAATATTTATCAGTATTTAAGTATTTAAAACAATGTTTTGTTTCTACTTGAAGCTTTAACCCCTTCCATTCCTGCAAGTGTGCCTTTGAGAGTCCCCATGTCATACTGACGTCACCGGCCAGCTCGTTGACCTCAAGTGGGAATTTTAGTCTCTTCTTACCCTCTTGGACAGAGCTTCCTGTTTTCTCATTTTTCTCATTTTGCAGTCTGGGCAGCAGAGAGGGTCCTGCATTTTCGTTCCTATTTCCACCCTTATTCTACACTTGGGTGGTGGGCTCCACAATCTCCACCCCACCCATTTTGGGAGCACAAATGAGGTGTAGAAACAAGTGTAAATTTAGTTGTAAGGCAATACTGGGCTTACTCTCCTTCCCGCCCTTCGTGGGTTGATTTGATTTTAATATTTGAGTTTCATATCAAGAGCTGAAACCATGAACTGTTCTAGGAACTGTGTTGGAACTCTTTAAAATGAAGAAGAGGAGGAAGAAAGAAAACCAACTGAAGAAGTCTTGACTTTGGAGCGCAGAAAGCCACCAGCTGATGGAGAACAAAGGGATGCTTCCCTTTTACTTTCTCTTTCTGGGTTTTCTTCTGCTTTGCTTCCTCCCCCTTAAAAGTGATATTCCTGGTTGGGTTGTCTGTCTGTCCTTGTCCTTGTGGTGATCCTGGCATGGTGATGTGCTCTGCTTTGCGTTATCTGTGGTCTCTTACCAGCACACAAGTCAGTGGGGAGGCTCTGAACACACCCAGAGGCAAGGAAGCTGAATTTCGAGGCCTGGGTCCTGTACGGCCTCCCCACGAGCTGCAGAAGGCATGTTCTGCATGGTCACCAGTAAGTGGCTCCCTCTCACCACGGTCATTGTCACATGAGCGACCCCCAAGGCGTTGCCTCCATCTGTACTCTCCTTGCTCTGCTCCCCTCCCACCAACCAGGGTTCATGCCAGCGCACAGCAGTGTGCCCTGGCGAAGCTGGTGCTGTGAGTGTTGTTTCCCATACAACTCAGGGGTCCTGGGTGGCTCACCCTGAGGTGATCATTTTAGGCACATAACAGTGTAGGAATGAAAAGTGGATTTGATTTCATTGATATTTAAATCTCTGTTGATTTCATTTTTTGTTAATGTTTTCCCCTGATGACTTTTTAGCAATTTAACAAATAAAACAAAATGGACAGAATCGTCTTCACTGTTTTATTAGTCGAAAAGAAACAAAGCTGTGATGGAAAGCAGCTGGGGTTGGAGATTGAAGGTGGAAGCAAAGTAGTTGGAAAGATACTCCTTCTTGGATGGTTGTGTTTCCGGGTCAAGGTGGAGAGTTGCCCCTTCCCTGAGAACGATGCCAGTGAATTCTAAAGCAGCTCTCTCCATCATGCTTGAAGGAATCGGTGTTTCAGAGCCTCAGTGCCACCCTGCAGTGGAGACCAAGAGGTGATGAGCTTGCAGCAAGGTCCAGGGGCCAGGACGACATCTGCATCATTGCTGGCCTCCTAAGCAAAGGTGAGGACACAGGCTCTGGGGTCTTGAAACAGCATAGCAAGTACTGGTTGGGGACTCAGGCCTGAAGCCCTAGAGACCTGGCCTCCCCCTACTTACTGCTCAACCTCCAATACAAGTTTCCTCATCCATAAATGCAGTGGTTTCTATCTTAACAGGATCATGAGGGTTAACTGAAGTTGGATGTGAAAAAGCACTAGCAACACAGTGCCTGGCACATAGTACATCCTCAAAAAATGGTGGCTGTGATAATTAGCCCTTGAAGAAAAGACAGGATCTTGAAGGAAAGGGCTGGGCCCCGTGTGTAAATTGGTAGGAGCAGGGCCGCACACAGGATTCTGCACATCTGCAGTTGTCTGGGTCATCTTTTGGATGTCACGAGAGCCTCAGAGGCGTCTGCCTCTCGAGAGCGGTAAATAGCAGCTGCCGCCATAAATCAGGTCAGAACTGTCCCAGTGGCTTAATCTCCCTTTTGGACATTATTCTTTGGTTTGCCAGTTGTATTCAGCCTCTGGGCACATGAGGTATTCTGTCTGGATTCAAAGACACACTTAGTTGGCTCCCAGTCTGAAAGTGTCATTTGGGGGCTGTTGACATGAGTCCATCCACCTGTGTGGGGGCCTGGGAGGAACCAGGCACCATAAGGATAGGGGCCTGTAGCCCTGAAGCCACTTGCTGACAATGTGCCAGTTTCTTATACCCCTGGGCCTTTGTGCCGTTCTTTTCATTCAGAACATACTATACCTCAACATTGTCCCCGACGCAGGCGCTGTAGTCCTGCAGCCCTTGTCTCAGGCTGCAGGATGTGGCTTCCGCTTCTAACACTATATTATGGTCTGAGGCTGTCTGTGCCATTTACTGCAAACTAGAGTGTGATGTGAGGAAGGGCCTCGGGTGCAAAGACCCAGCGCCATGTGCTGGCAGCTCCTGAGTTGGTTGGGTAGAAGGATTGTTTGGGACACGTCTGCAGTGGCCCTTGTGGAGGGTAAGACTTGCCTGTGTGGGATCTGTTGGGCTGAACCAGGTCCAGTGGGTAGAAGCTCTAGGGAAGAGGTTTCAGGGACATTGGGAAGAACTTTGTTACGTTCAGAACTCTATGTAACGGGTGGAACCAGTTTGACATCACTGGAGGAATTCAAGCGTTGCCTGGGTCATCAGTCTGTGGGATATAGAGGCGGCAACGCTCGGTGGGGTGCCAGTGGCGATTGGTGGTCCTGGGGCAGGAGGCAAACATCGGTGCCTGGGGAAGACCTGTCACACCCAGCCTCCAGAGCAGGCCCATCTCATTAAGCTTCCCGATAGCATTCTAACTCTGTCCATGCCATAGGCCACGCCCCTAAACATTGATGAGCATGGCCCCACTCTGGAGGGAATTATTGGGTTGTCGGAAAAGTCATGATGCATTTTTGCAATGAAAAACAGAAAAAAATAACGTCATGGCTTTTCCGACAGCCCAATAGAACAAGAAGACAGCAGCGTGATTGGCCCCAGGTCAGAGGATGTGTGCCAGTGAGCAGAGAAGCACTGTGCTGATTTGGGGAGAAACCTTAATGTCGAGATCACAGCTCAGAGAAGATCCGTGACTCACCTAAGGCCCTACAGGAATTGGCAGCCACCGCCTTCCCATGCAGGCCAGCACAGCACTCCCTGGCCACT